GGATTGGAAATTATTACACATTATTTACACCTTATGTACATACACTGACTTGCTTACATCATCAATACATTTTTCAATCACCTTTTTTTTCTCACATACATCATATCAAAAAAGTGCTATAGTACTTTTTTCACAAAATTATCTCAAATAATTTACAATCCAAACACACTTGAAAACCGAACCAGATCCGGTTCTATACTGGGGTTGACTTTATCAAAATCGGTCAAAATCGGTCAAACCCGTTAAAATCGATGAACCGGTGGTTTTCAGTTTTCAACTTTTCCCCTTTTTTTTTTTAAGTTTTGCAAAAATACAATTACCAAGGTTCAAACCCAAGACCTTTGTGATAGAAAACCAATGTATTAACGATTATACCATTCCATTTTATTAGCCTTTTTTTGATAACTTATTTATATAAAACAAACATCCATCTTTCTTTTCTCAATTTTTCTTACAAAATCTCATCATCTCATGACTCTTTTTTTTTTAAATTTTCAACTCTATCTCTCTCTCCCTCTTCTTTTCTTTTGTTACTCCCTTTTTAATCAAACCTCTTTAGTTTTAATTTATTGATGTTTTCTTCCATTTTTAATTTGTTTTTGTCCATTAAATTGAAAAAAATTAAAAAAGAATTATTTTTCTTTAACTGTAAAGACTAATTATTAAATGCCACAACCATTCACTTTTATCTCATTTTTTGTTTCTTATGAAGTTTATATTTCTATTTTCGATTCTCTTAACTTCCTTCGAACTCCAAATTTCCTTTTTTTTAGTTGCAATCTCTAAATCCCAAAAAAACGTAAATTAAAATTTAAACTCAGAATGTCTAAATTCTCATAGACATGAATTTTGTATAATTTCAAAATATTGTGGTATTTTTGGGTTAGATTTAAGATTATTTTTTGGTAGATATAATTGATATTGAGATGAAATTTATTTGTTTCAACTTATAATTTCAAAAATTTATTTTTTAAAATTCAAGTTATTCAAAAATAGTAAACTTTTCATCATATAAAGTTTTAAATTAGTCCATTGCATGTCTTATTTTGTGCATATATATATATTTATATAAATTATTTTTAAAAAAATTCATTGAACCAGGGTTGAACCGGTCCGACCGATTGAACCTTGATCCGAACACTTCACCAGTTCAATTAACGGTCCGAGTTTTAAAACATTGCCTACCCTTTATGCTGTAGCTAGGCCTATCAACGGGCGGGGTCTGGTTCGAAATTCATTATTTCGAACCTGGACCTGGCATACTACATCGGACTCGAATTCGGCCCATTTACCCGGCAGGTCTTCTACTCTATGTTTCGGATTTGGATCCGACGGGTCTCGGATTCGAATCTGACTCGGAAAAAAACCTGTCAAAGCTTGTTTTGTAACAATTTAAAAACGAAACCTATTTTGCCAAGAATTTAAAATGAAACATGTTTTGCAGCAAATTACAAAGACGTTCAAAGCCAATCACAAATCTAAGCCACAAATTACAAAGTTAAATCACAAATCACTCACAATAATCATTTTAAAGTGTACCACAAATCTATTTACAAAAGTCATTGCAAAACGACAAAATCAATATGAAATCCAACAAATTACAACAAATTACAACTTCTAAATGGTCCATTCAAATATTAAATATCAAATACATCATTTCAAGTTTCACAATTTTCTGCAAAAAAAATGAGAAAAAAATCATTGGTAAACTAATTTCTAACTAATACAAAAAAAAAATCAAACAAGAAAAGAAATCAAATTAACCTTACTCAAATACATCACCCAAATTAAATTATATTGATAAATATATATATATATTTAAATTATTAATCTATTTATATCCGGATCCGAGTTGGATACGGATCGAAATACTATATTCTGTATCCGATATTTTTTTGTTTGACAAAATGGATCCGGGTTCGAGTTCGGGTAACGAAATTAAATTCCTACCTGAATCCGGAATAATTTGACGGATCTGATCCGAATTTGAATTTAGATCCAAACTGTTGATAGGCCTAGTCCACTTACATTTCCATCCATTCTTATCCATTTTCATCCATTCTTATCCATAACAACGGAATATTCTTATCCATTCTTATTCATTTCCATCCACTTACATTTCCATCCATTCTTATCCAAAGAATCCACTGTTATCCATTTCCATCCACTCTTATCTATTCCATCCATTCAAGGAAGCAAAATAAATGCAAACTTCTCCTCCCAACAATCACGTGGCCGCACGGAAAGCAGCTACACTAAGAAGTACTCGTTCTTATGTTATATATAAAATAAATATACTAGGATGGAATAAGTTGAGACGTGTCTCAACTTGCCTCTCACGACAAAAAGGAAAAACAAAAAATAAACGTGACTCTCATGGTTACGTGATAAGTTTGTATTCCAGTTTGGCCTTACAAAGTACCCGCTAAAATATCTCTATCGTTTCTGACAAAATAAAAGAGTACCCGCTAAAATAATTTGTTTCTCTGTTTGTTTGTGGTTCCTAATCGCCAATTTAGACCAATCCCATTTATACGCTTTTCAATATTTATCCTACTTTTTTTTCTTTTAATTAAAAACATCATCATTTTTATTAAATCTGCTATCTGCATTAATGATAGAATTACATTAGTCATATGTCAAATGGATAAGCCATTCAGGGTCAGCTCAGCTGGTGAATCCATGGGGTATTCCTCGTGGTGGCACAAGTTCGAGTTTGGCTTCCCAAATCGCCTGGATGCTCTTGGGGGCAGGGTACACAGGTACAGAGGGATTAGTCGGGCCCCTTACGGATTGACCCGGACACCCTCTGTATTGACAAATATATATATATATATATATATATATATATATATATATACCAAATGGATAAAAATGCTGGATACTCCATATCTAACTTAAGTAATTTAGACTGTGAAACTCTAGGACCCGTTTTCTCGATCCACTCCACGATCCTCGTATAAGAACAAAATTATATTGAAATTGAAATTAGGTCCGAATGTGGTATACTCGAGTAGGAGACTTTTTTAAAATAACTATGATAGTATTTTTTGATTAGTTGTTTTGGGAGATATTTTTGAAAAATTTTACTATGGTAGTCTATATGAAAAACTTTTACTATAAATATTTTTAAAATATTTGATATATTGTATGAAAAATATTTTAATTAAATGTGTCTATAACATTATTTCAGTAATTATACCAACAAAAGTTTTAAATGTACCAAAATGAAGATATTTCGATAAATATATCTAAACACATGCTACCCTCAGTTGTATCAAAAATTTTTAAAAAATTACCCGACATTCCGCATTCCCAAAAAATTTCTATCCATATGGTTGAAATTCAAACCCCTTTGTTTGGTGCATGTGGTTAGAGAGGATTTTTCATTGAACAAATAATAGTATACTGTGGAAAGAAATGGTCATCAACTATGACAAAGGTATAATAGTACATTCTAATTGTAATACACACTTGTATATTTTGTTTTATCAATGCTATTACAATTTTATCATTCTCGAAAGACCCCTACAAGTGTCAGTTGAAAATCATCAAAGAGCAGACAAAAGTTGTTTCAAATAGAGGAATATTCTCCAATGACTAGTGATGGCAACGTGTTAATTGCACAACATGTTAATTTGTTTTTGTGTTAATTGCACAACAAAAGCTGCACTTAAATTAAATGTGTCTGTAACACCATTTTAATAATTATACCAACACATAAACTTATATGAGATGTACTCGATGCAAAAACGGTTGCAAAATAATTCCATATTCTAGAAATACCCAAATGTCTCCATAAATAAAAAATTTAAATGTATCAAAATGAGGGCATTTTGGTAAATATACCTAAACACATGCTGTTCTCAATTGTACCAAAAAATTTTAAAAATACTATGCAACATTTCATATTCTCAAAAAATCCCTATCCATACGGTTGAAATTCAAACCTCTTTTAATCATAACTCATTCTTATATAATATAAGGATATAATTCTTAGCTGATATTAATGTTGTATATGTGTACTTCACCTTTGCCACCTCCAAGCCTTTAAGAAAGATAAGTCATGGACAAAATAATGTTAAAAGATCCAAAAATTAAGATTGATGTCTCACTACTCTATTTCAACGTAATGTTTCATGCGTACTTAAATTAATAGTCATTTAATCCGTGGTTTTAATCACCGTTATTCTCCATATTCCATGACACGAACTTCATGCCGAAGAACAAGTGAATTGGTGTCAATCATTTGCTGCAAATATCTGTAACCTTGTTTTAGCAGCGGCTTTCCATTTTTATCAAAATTAAGGCATGTCTGTCATATTATTTTCATCAAAGCAACAAGAAAATAACAATAGCTCTTTAGTCTTCAATTATGATACCAAATGCTTTTCGACTGTAGTTTTCCAATTATGAAGTGAGAGTGACGGTACTGATAAAGAAAAAATGTACTGCATTTTTTTAAAAAAAAATTACAAATTTTTCACTGGTAAAAGAAAACGTGCCTTCCAGGAGGCCAGATATTTTTTGAATTCACAAGAAAAAAAATTACCATCACCTTAAATGAAAGGGACTACTCTAATTTTTTTCCATGGGCTAACATAGTAATTTTTAAAAATTATTTTGTTAATATCTTTTGCTAGTTAGGGAAAAGTTTCACTTCCTAATTGAATTTTTAAAAAAATTAGAATAGTTCTGACACAATAAATATATGCATGTGCACCTTTATTGTCCTTCATTTTATTGTTTAGAATAGCTATGGTATGGTGGATATTGGAATCAAGCAAATCTACACAAGTCTTAATTCATTACATAGTAAGAGTACATGAGTCACAACTTAATTCTTGAAAAGAGAACATTTAAGTATATGAGACATTGGGAATCCAACCGGAGAGGTTATTTTGTAATGGGACAGTTTTTTAGGCCCAAATTCAAAGGTACTAAATCAAAGTTTGTTCGGAATTGATCCTTGCAAGCTATTGTTTGCTAAAGAAAGGTGATCCAAACTCTCTAAACTCCAAATTTACGTGAAAATTGATCGTTTGACAAGTCTAACTTTGTCAAATTCTTTAATTCTCCCATCTCTGGAGCCAAAGGTCTTCTCAAGAAATTCAATGACAAGTTGACCTCCAAGAGATCTTTAAGATTATTGAAACATCCTGGAATTGAACCGCTAATCTGATTTTGACTTAGGTATAAATACTCCAAACTCTGTAAACCACACATCGTATTTGGAATTGAGCCAGTCAAGCAATTGTCACATAGATCTAAATCTGCTAAATTGCTCTAGTTTCCAATGCTGTCTAGAATGTTTCCCTTGAGCCCACAGCTCCCTGCATTCAACGTTTCAACAGAAATAGAAAGATTCCCAATGGATCTCGAAAGAACCCATTTAATGGATTGTTTGCCACCCAGATCTCCCTTAAAGAGATGCAACCTATAAGGGAAGTGAAGAGACTCATTTTTTAAGATGAAGATTCACTTGTCAAATCACTATGAGATAGATATATAACTTCGAGGTGTCTCAAATTTCCAATGGAATTGGGAATTCGACCGTTGAATTTGTTAACACCAAGATATATTTCGGTTAATTTCGAACCGTTTGAAATAGAGGTAAGCATGGTTCCACTGAAGTTATTCCTTCTAAGATAAATATCTTCCAATTTGTGTAGGCCATGGCGCACATTTGATGGAAGAACGCCAAATAAATTATTGTCAAAAAGGTCAAGTACCCTCGGTTGAGATGTTGAAGATCCCAACTGGGATTGAACCACTTAACCTATTGTATCCCAAGTCAAGACTCTCCAATTTGAACAAGTTGCCAATCTCGTTTGGAATCAGACCTATCAATTCATGAAGAAAATCAATCTCAATTAAATATACTTCAAAAGTTACACCAAATTTAGGACTACAGCTCATTGAAAATCAGCATACCTATCAAATTAGCTATCATCTAGATACAGCTTCTTAAGCATGGATTAAATTTCCAGTCCCCATGGCATTTACCCATTGAATTTATTGATCCCTATGTAAAGAATTTAAATCGGGGAATTTTTTGGAAAAGCTTTCTAGTATTTGACCATCCAAATTGTTTATCTGTAGATATGAGCTTCCAAGTTCAAGAAGCAGGTCACGTGAACTTTGCCCGAGAGATCCAGACAAGCTATTATGTTATAGCATAAGCCAATTAATGCCTCCTAACAGTTAACATCGACATGTCATATACTTCCACCGAAATATATTGGCAACAACCAAGAGATTGTAGCACAAGAAATATGATTCTACAGTGAACAAATTTAAATATGGCATCCAGTAAAGGAATAAATTAACCAAGAAATATTACCTTCTAAAATGTTAACCGCAAGATGTAGCACCTCAGGCATTTTTAGCCTCCCAAGTTCTTTAGGTATGGACCCCCTGAACTGGTTGTATGACAAAGATAACGACTCCAATCTGGAGCAATTTGATAAATCTGATAGTAGTATTTCACCGCTTAACTGATTGGAAGACATATCAACCTCTTTTAGATTTGAAAGATTGTTGCATATGTTGGCAGGAAGATCACCAAGAAAAGAATTTTTTCTCAAGGATAGGTATTGAAGTCTATCCAAGGCACCCAACCATGATGGAATTTCTCCGGCAAGATTATTGTTGCTCAAAGCCATGAAACTTAGTTGACGCAAGTGAGACATCCCTTTTGGCAGATAACCATGAAAACTATTGTTGCTTATGTCGAGAGAAACAAGAAATGAGAGGTTTCCTAGTTGTGAAGGAATTGTGCCTTCAAAACCCATGTTAGAAATATTTAAGGCCACCACTCTTTGACGATTAGAGTCACAAGAAATTTCAAAAGGATGAATTGGACCAATTTTTGGCCAAGATTAAGTAAGGATAAGAAATTATGTGGTTTTTTAAAGCCACAAGGGCAGATTTATCAGTAATAATATTGGTTGTTGCCATGACTGCCAGAGAACTGGCTAATAAAATTCCCAGAGGAATGTAACTGAACGCTCTCTCCATTTCTTTTGACTAAGCTTACAAATAGAACTGACGATAGGGAAGTATATATATACTATTATGGGACTGAGGTATGCTATTTTAACTTCAATTCAGATCCAAATATACAATTCTTAGATATTTCGATCAAGAAGTTCATTTTTTAAAGTTATTAAGGGCAGATTCTTAGTTTAACTACCTGAATACTAATTGTTAAAATAACTGCTCATTTTGCTTTTCAACATAATCAACCTTAAGAATTATAACTACTAATTTAAAAATTATAATGTGAAATTTTGTTTTGTTTTCATTAACAATAAAAAACTCATAGAAAATTCATTTATCATTGGAGCCTGCCACAAATCACATCAAATATTTCTTCTTTGCCGTGAGAATTTAGACATGGGCCTGCCTTCGCTGAGAATTCTTCCATGATGTGCTATCAATAGATCTTTGCGTCGCGCGTTCCTCCGGCAGGAAGGAACATCCGTACCTTCCTACGATAGGTGACTCCTATTGGTTCTCCATATTTGATACGCCAGTTGACGTGGAAATTTTGGCAAAGACTTGTGGAAACTAAAACATTCTTATTAATCAGTTGATTTGAGAGAAATTTAATATCCAACTTTGATGACGCGCAAGCAAATTGGTGAAATTTCATTGGAAATTTTGACAGTACGCCGTCTCCTTCTGGGCATTTTGGGGGTCTGCATGATGGCATGACTAGCAAAATGGTCAAATTTCATGACTTTCTTGCCGAAAGCCAACGATTTCATAATTCAATTAATGACTATGTGATACAAATTTAAGTATGTTTTCTTACAAGATGAAAATCCAGATAAAGAGGAAGGTAAGTGTATGTCTCTACATTGGAAATTAAGGGGGAAAAGTCGTGGAAAAATCAAGAAGAAAAATGTTAGAAAACAAGAAAAGAGTTGATTAGAAAAAAATCAAATGTGAGTAGAAGTTTTAGAGAAATAAATGAAAGATGAAAAGCTAGGCTTGTCAAACAAGAAGAATGGAAACAAAAAGATTGATTTGATTAAACAATATGAAAGACTTTAACATCTATATGTCTTCCAAAATTAATGCAAGGGGCAAAAAGGTTGTCTTTCTTTTTTTTCCTTTGACTAGGATTAGGGCTGCAAACGAGGCGAGTCGAGTCGAGTTTTGGCCTAATCGAACCGAGTCTCGACATAATTTTATTGAACTCGAACTCAAGTTCGAGCTCGACGAGCTGACAATTTCAAGCTCGAGCTCGAAAAAAATAAATTTTTTTTTATTTTTAAAAAAATAAATAAAATAATATTTTTTTCTTAATAAATAAATAAAATATTAAGGATATATATGTAATTTTATTATTAAAATTTAAAAAATAAAAAAATATATATACTTAAAAAAAAATATATATATATATATACTTAAAATAAAAATATATATATATACTCGATCTCGCGAGCCGGCTCGCGAGTTAACGAGCTTAATATTTTGAGCTCGAGTTTGAGCTCGATTTCGACTCGAGCCAGCTCGAACTCGACTTGCGAGCGGCTCGATTTGTTTGCAATCCTAACTAGGATTCCTTAAATGTGGAAAAAAAGATCATCTCCATAGTTGACATGCCAGTTGACGTGGAAATTTTGGCAAAGACTTGTGAGAACTGTAGATTTTTATTGATTAGTTGATGTTATATGAATGGTAAAAATTTAATATCCAACTTTGATGACCACTTAAACAATACGAAGATTTGGCTTATTTGACCCTTCAAAAGACGAAGTGCGTATCACATTATTGAACCGTCAAAGTTGGAATTACTGTTAGATGTTATGAACAGACTTTATGACTTTATTCAAATCCATCAATTCTATCCAGTTTTAGTCCCACCATATAATATAGGATAAATTACTTATAACCCCCTTGTGAATTTACATAATGCCAGATGACCACCCTACTGTTTTAAATTAGCCATATGACCCATTTATAGTTTTATATAAAATGGCAAATGGATAGAATGTATTATTAGTTATGGCATTTATACCAAACACGTTCCAAAAACGCGTGTTGTAAAATCTTAATCTCTATGTAACCTCCTTATGATTTGTATAAATATCCACTTTATCCGCCTATGATTTTTGTATTTATCGACGTAATCCTCCTATACTTTTATACAAGGTAGTTTAGCCATCAATTGATTTAACATTTAAATAAGAACATTATTGATATTTCAATTAATGACATTACATAGGTCATTGTTCGACAAATTTTCACTTTATATAAAATCACAAAGGGTGAAGTGAATATTTTAAAATATAAGGAGGATCATGTGGCAACAAACGAAATCACAGGGGAGTTATATATAATTTACCCTATAATATATGTATGAGCACAATAGATATAGCCATTCCAGCAGAAGTCACTAAGTCAGTCAAAAAGATTTAGCGTAGCTTCATAAACATTAACTTTGATGGGAATTTGCAAATAACATCTGCACTTGCATTTATGGGATACTTAATTCCTTGCATCTCCCCCAGGATTTCGCATAGTTTTATAAACATTCCCCAGATATTGAAATTTGCATTTTTAAACAAAACAAACCCAAAATTAATGATGGCATCATCAAATTGTACTCTAATTTTGCAATACCCTTATGTGGTTTAAAAAAAAATTATTTCAATCATCATTGATCTTAATTATTATTTTCTCGCTCTTTTTTTTTAATTTTTTGATTTTTGCAAATTTGGGTATAAGTATTCTTTTCAAGGTTATCATAGCGATTGCCTTTCAAGAGAGCAAGTGTAAATTTCTTATACCTAACTAAGCAAGGCTAAACCTCAAGGGAGAAATATAAAATTATTCCCGAATTTAAACCACTTTTAAGATATTTTATCACCTATACAAAAACCATTGTGATTTCTCTAATTATAATTAATTTTCCTCAAAATTCATACCCCAGTATCAGCTGCACTTTCAACAATCAGATTGAATAAAATATAATTTTCCCTACATAATACGTGGTGAAATGCCTACCTCTAATTTTAACAAACATTCTCCTATCCATAATCTTAAAAAAAAAAAGAGGAGAGAATAAGAGAGAAAAGGTTATCATTCAATGACAAGAATACAGAGAAAGAAAAGAGGGATGGCCTTCAAATTCAATCTTCTAAAATAGATGTTCTTAGGGCCAAAAAAAAAAAGACAAAGAATGTAAAATCTTTTGATGGAATGCAAAAACTTGGGTAGAATTGGTCATTTGGTTTTGTATAGGATGAAAATCCAAATAAAATGGAAGGTAAGTATATCTTTCTACAATGGAAATGAAGGGGGGAAAAGTCATGGAAAAATCAAGAAGAAAAATGTTAGAAACCAAGAAAAAATTTGACTAGAAATATCACATATCGGTGGAAGTTTTAGAGAACTAAATAAGGTGTAGACAAATCAAAGATGAAAACCTAGACTTGTTTGATAATTGGAATGGAAACAAAAGGATTGATTTGATCAAACAATATGAAAGACTCTAACATATATATCTTCCAAATTAATGCAAGGTGGAAAAAGGTTGTCTTTCCTTTTTCTTTGACTATGATTCCTTAATTGTAATAAGTTTTAAATTACAAGAATTCTAAAAAAATGACGTAGAATATATATGACTTCACTTATAAAAAAAGAAAGAAAAATTTAAAAACAGAGAATCCCAGTGATATATACAAATATAAAAATTTTTTAAAAATTGTGAGGTAAATAATCTTTTTATTTGTATTCATCAGATAAAACTTCAAATCTTACAACGAAAAAACGGTTTGGAGGTGAAATCTAGGCTTGATCCAGTAAGTACACTGTTTTTGGGCCTAAGACATAAGTGTCTCCAACGTCAGCCACTAGTACACCAGGAAATAAGGTTAAAATTGGGCCAGATTCATTTCAACAAATAAATGAGCAACATTACAAGACTGCAGAAAACGAAGAATTGATAAAAACAAGTCAAAGGAATGAATTAATGATTATATCATAAGGATTAAGAAACACTTACTGGCTTCTCTAGTTGTCCACTTTTTGTTTCCATAGTACAAAAAGCGATGACAGCAAAACCACAAGTTGAAAATTTCAGTTTTCATGTAATCGTTTAATCATATCAAACCAACTGACCAACAAAATGCTATCTTATCAATTCTTCAATTGGTGATTCGATAAAAAATAATATGCTGGTTAGATTGGTGTGTAATTTCACTCAACGATAACATTAAAAAAAATCCATACAAATGTTACATTTGTAGGTCAACTAAAATCCAAGCACATCCAAAAGATGCAAAGTCATAGATGAGTTAAACAAATTTGTACGACCAATAATATTATATAGATCAACTCACTTCTTAAAAGGGAAAAAAAAAAGCGTACATTCCTAGATGTACGGATGAAGATTATCCTTGACAACTCCCAAGCGATTACTCAAGTGATAATCACCAAGATAAGAGTGCTTCAATTACATGATGTCCAATTTTCTATTCCCATCATCAGGAAATTATTGGGGTCACCTAATTGGACTAGACTATTGCATAAGTCTTATGCGGCGATTCGTGCATTTAGAAATAACTTGTTCCTTCAATATATAAAATTGTCAACAGATATTGGTTCTGTGTATATGTACTTTACTTTTGTACTATATAATCCTCAGCTGATATTAATGTTGTATATATGTACTTCACTTTTGCCACCTCCAAGCCTTTAAGAAAGACGCAAAAGTCATGGACAAAATAATGTTAAAAGGACCAAAAACAAATATTGATGGCTCACTTACTAGTTTTCAACTTTTTTGTTTCACGCATACCTAAATTAATAGACATTTAGTCCGTTGTTTTTAATCGGTGTTATTATCAGCAATTAAGATGTTTATATGGTTCTAAGCACGATTAATGATCTTTTCTTGTTTTAATATTTTGGATGAATAGGAGGTACAGTTAAGTAAAGAACACGGTGAGATTCTGAATGTGTTTTTTTGCGCATACGACTACAATATCAATGGGAA